TACCGTTTGTCAAAGCAAGGTACACAAAAGGGGTTAATTTTCTGTCCAAAATAGTATTCAAAACGGTAGGGGGTTGAACCTCTGGACGGAGCCTCCCCATGTATACCCCGAGTACCTCTTACGGGTAAATTCTAGATCACAAAGTACCTTTTGAGCTGAGAAATGTCATCCTTAGAAAAAAATTTTCCAGGCCTTCTTCTTACTGTTTTTCTCGTGCCGTAATATATGTTTGTCTGGCTCATGCTACTTGATGAGTCAAAGGTTAGAATGTAATCATGGTTTCTAACCCGAAACCTGAAGTCTTTTTGCTTGTTCCAGAAGGCTTTCTCTAGAGATTCTTGGAGATCTTTTCCCTGTGAATGGATATTTAACAGGACCGTCAGCATTGAACTCTGCAGGCTATCTATTAAATGTTTGACCTTGGCAGAATATAATTATTCATTATATTATAACACAGCCAAAAAACTGCCAAATGGGTATCCCAGGCCACCACTCCCATTGCCTCCCTTCTACCATAGTGTGGGTACGGGTATGGATTTGATTGTGCGTTACCTATTTCTTGCCGTTACAAGAGGTGTTATTATCCAAAACCCAAAGAAAATATACCCCCCCTTCTAATCACCGTGTCGTCTTTGTCGTACATCCTCCAGAATCCACTTTCGTGTTGCCAGTACCATATCCACTTGGTAGCCAGTGGTTTGCTTGAGTTGACGCAAGACTCCGTCGATAGGCGTCGTAGTTCATCGCTAAAATATAAACAAAAATGATAATTTTGTCAACTTTTAATTTCGATAAGGGGTGGAGGGGGGGGGGGTGGATGGAACCCCTCTCCAGAGTAATCGATATGTTGCGGTATTTCGAAACGATTTTGCCTTCATTGAAAAGCCTTTGATCTTCTTAACAAGATGAGGTATATTTTATGGGTGGTGGCACTGCTGGAGGCCTGTGACCTCACCAACAATGGTCACCATCTTGGCTGCCATCTTCGATTTTACCAAGAATAGAAGTCAGGCTAAAACCGCGAGAAATGGTAATTTTTTGTGCTTGAAATGAAAAATAACACTTAAATAAGCACTTTGCTTGATTTAAGCCCTAAGGTTTACTTTTATTGTTGAAAGAAGTTAAAAAACAAGCATTTTCACTCAAAAATGGCTTGACCACCTGCTACTTATGACGTCATATCTCGTAACCATAGAAAATGACCATCACTGAACTTGTCTCAAAATGCGCGCAAGGGATAAACGAACACGTCAGGCACTGATGTTTTATCCTGTAGGAAAAATCTCAGAAAAACCTTAGGGGTGGTGGCTTCTCCCTCCTTGTACGTCCGACATCTTGAGCTTGCACTCTAGCTTGGATTTCTTCATAGTTAACCAAAAGTTAGCTTCAGTAAACTAGCCTTAAAGCATGTGCGTTTTTAACCCTTCATATCAGCCATCTTTGTCATCATGTGTCTTATGTTTACCGTCCACCTTTGTTATCTTCATATTTTCGTTGTAATTTGAAGCTTTCAATTACCTTCCTTAATATAAGAAATTCAAATTTTAACTACTGACATACGGCATGCGGAAAAATGCCTTGTGAACTTAAAAATGTTATTTTTATTTTTGTTCAGATGACAATCACTAATGTAGCATAGTTTTACGTGCTAAAACTGACTTACATTAAGCAATGCTATGCACCTGGCCAGTGCACTCGAGTGGCAAGTACCTGCCCGGAACTATATATGATACTGATTAAGCCGCTCTGCGGTAATTCCTACACGCTAACGTTTTTACCATCTTTGGCCAACGGGCATACTTTAAGTTATGCGCCCTTTCTCATGGAAAATTGATTTAGAGTGAAATATGTTCATAAACTTCCCAATATAGTTATATTAGTGATAATAAGTTAAATATTATAGTGTATTAAATACAAGAGCAGATTTTAACATGCCTTTCAAATGATTTGTAAATGCCCTTATTTAAACATTTCTCAAGAGTCACGTCACAATACATTTTTTCAAGCCCCTCGTTGTCTTCCTCATTCAAATTCTTCCATTCATGGTCATTGCAATCGAGATATTGCCACTGGTAAGGCAAAATGCAGTGATGGCCGGTACACTGGGAACCATTCAGTGTAAACGGTTCTTATTTGAGACCCGTTTACGGTGCATCTGGGTTGTCCCAATGAATGTGTTCTGATCGAAAGAATGAGTAGGAGAATGTAAGTTAATAAAAAAAATGAAATAACTATACGGAAAAACAACCAGGTGATTTCATAATAATACTTCTGTGTTAGTACCCTGCGAAAACAGTCGTTTCTCCTCGCTCATCGCCGCTGGGGGACGTTTCACAAGGAGAAACGACGTTTTTCCTCTCGAAACGTCCCAAGCGGCGAGGAGCGAGGAGTTCGCAGGCTACCGTTTCAGGCCCTTCTTGTTGGTTTATTAAAATAAACAAATAAAACCGAATAAATCAATCAATCAATAAATAAATACTTCTTTAATTGTCCTCAAACCTGTTTATAGGAAAATAGAAGAAGCCGCACCATTAGTGATAATAGAAAAGAATTTCGTCTAAGGGTTATGCACAGACTGGAAATAGTTAACTTTTATTTTACTGTTAGGGTTAATTGTCGCTATTAATAACAATATCTGTGAATAAACGGGATTTTCGGTGCGTATCGAATCCGAAATAATGTAGTAGTTTTGACGATAGATTTCAGTGTTATCGGCTTTAGGTCGATTTCGGCTTGCTCATTCCACTTTTAAAATTTCTTTTCTTTAGAAAAATGAAGGGACTCTGACTATATATCATTCCATGTATGTCATCTATTTACATTCGTAGACTGTTTTTAAACCATTACTTTTCTTGTTTTTTGTACGTATGCAGTGTCTGCTTAAGCCGGTTTACTTTCCAAGTAATTTCAAAAATAAACAATTCATAAGCTTCGGTTTTAAATTCTGGCTTATAATTTTACTATCGATCCTAAGGTGTATTCTATTCGACAAACGATTGTCTTTCAAATAGAAACAATACAATTCGTATACGTACGCTAGCTAGGATCAGTGCTGTTTGTTGTTTTTTCCTCTATTTTTCTCATCACGAGGGGCAAGAGGACATGCCGTTGTCCAAGGTAAATGATCCTTTCTTTGATCTTCCGTTTCAGTTTTGGTGGTGAAAAATCCATATGATCTGAGATCACAAATCCGTTTTTGAATTTTCTTCCAAACACGCACCTCTTGAAGGTTGTACAAAGGGAAAAAAAGAAACAACAACAACAACAAAAAAAAGGTTGAGGAGACTGGGGAGAGGAAAAAAAGCGAGAACCCGTGATCAATTTTAAAGTGATCAAGTTTTAGTGAACGCGTACCCTGCGAGCAGAGTCTCCTTCGATCTTCCTAGAAAAATTGGGAGGCATGAACTACATGTTAGCACACCATATATTCGTGCAACATAAATTAAATGAACACTGTGTACAACGTTTTATAAGTAATACGCACTTCTCAAAACTATTTCTTTTCTGTACTTATTAGTACTTTAGCATCCTAACCAGTCCTTTTCCGTACTTACTAGTCCTTTTGTGTCGTTATTAGTCCTTTTCCGTCCTTACTATTCCTTTAATATCCTCACTAATTCTTTTCCGTCCTTACCAGTCCTTGTCTGACTGTCGTTACTAGTCCTTTTATGTCCCTATTAGTCCTTAATGTCCTAACTAGTCCTTTTCCATTTTTTTATGTCCTTCCTAGTTCATTTATATCCTTATTAGTCCTTTTCTGTCCTTACTAGTCCTCTAGTGTCCTTACTAGTCCTTTTCCGTCCTTTGATGCCCTTACAAGTCCCTTTCCGTCCTTACTAGTCCTTTGCTGTCCTTTGATGCCCTTATTAGTCCTTTTATGTCCTTATTAGTGCTTTTCCGTCCTTTGATGTCCTTATTACTAGTCCCTTTCCGTCCTTACTAGTCCTTTTACGTCCTTTGATACCCTCACTAGTCCTTTTATGCCCTTATTAGTCCTTTTTCGTCCTTTGATGTCCTTACTTGTCCTTTTCCGTCCTTTGATGCCCTTACACGTCCCTTTCCGTCCTTACTAGTCCTTTTCTGTCCTTTGATGCCCTTACTAGTCCTTTTATGCCCTTATTAGTCCTTTTCAGTCCTTTTCCGTCCTTACTAGTCCTTTTCCGTCCTTACTTGTCCTTTTATATCCTTACTTGTCCTTTTATGTCCTTATTAGTTTTTTTCCGTCCTTACTAATCCTTTCCCGTGGTTACTAGTCCTTTTCCGTCCTTACTTGTCCTTTTCTGTCCTTAATAGTCCTTTTCCGTCAGTTTATGTCCTTACTTGTCCTTTTATGTCCTTATTAGTCCTTTTCTGTCCTTACTAGTCCTTTTCTGTCCTTTTCCGTCCTTTTGTGTCCTTCCTAGTCCTTTTATGTCCTTACTTCTCCTTTTATGTCCTTACTAGTCCTTTTCCGTCCTTTTAGGTCCTTACTTGTCCTTTTCCGTCCTTTCTAGTCCTTTTCTGTCCCTGACTTGTCCTTTTCTGTCCTTACCTGTCCTTTTCTGTCCTTCCTAGTCCTTTTATGTCCTTACTTGTCCTTTTATGTCCTTCCTAGTCCTTTTATGTCCTAACTAGTCCTTTTCTGTCCTTAATGGTCCTTTAGAGTCCAAACCGGTCCTTTAATGTCCTAACCAATCCTTTTCCGTCCTCAATAGTTCTTTTCTGTCCCTACTAGTCCTTTACTAGTCCTTTTATGTCCTAACCAGTCCTTTCCGCCCCTACTAGTCCTTTTATATCCTTACTAGTCCTTTTATGTCTTTACTAGACTCCTTTTATGTCCTTACTAGTCCTTTATGTCCTTACCCGTCCTTTTATGTCCTTACTTGTCCTTTACCGTCCTAATTAGTCTTTTAATGTCCTCAACTTGTCCTTTTCTGTCTTAACTAGTCCTTTTTCGGTTTTCCTAGTCCTTTTCTGACCATACTAGTCCCTTTATATACTATTTAGCCCTTTTCCGTCCTTACTAGTCCTTTTCTGTCCTCGTTTTTTTTTTCTTTTCTTAACAGTCCTTTTCTGTACTGCTTTTACATGTACTTCTTAAAAAATATCTCCTCTGAAACTTCCTTGAAATGATCTTTGAGTCTTGATGAACAGGAACTTTCTTCATCTGTTTTAAAAAAAGGTTTAAGTCCTTCGGCTATATCAAACAGATAGTATCCTTGCAGTACTGATAAGAAAAACAGTATCTTTTATTATCAAAAGAAGAAAAACAGTTTGGTGTTTTCATAAAACATCATTTCCTCAATAACAAATTGGAGTCGCCTGTTATGATCGATAATTGCTGCGCCAAGCAATAGCGTTGTAATTTCAAAAATCAACTAATAAAAACTACTGCTACAGTAGTTTTGAGGATAGACACTATTCGGGTGTAAGAAAAACAGCCAAGCTAGCATTTTTTCTTTTCAACTTCTTCAATGTCCCGTCAAGTTTGGTAGGTTTCCTTCCGAAGCTGACATGTCAAGTAATGACTCATTCAATGCAAGAGAAATAAATGAAAGCAAAGGAAACCTTTAATACCGTAAAGCTTTCGGCAATATGATGTCAGCTACTGGACAAGGATAACAATGGGGAATTATTAACATTGACGGGCTGTGGTTGCATGTTCTAGCATTCATCAACTGAAACTGTTTAATAGCTTAGCTTAGCATTTCACTCTTGCGAAAGAACCTACAAACCATTCCGCAATGGATTTTTTCAAAGACAAGAAACCAATATTTTCTATCATCTTCTGGGCTCAGCAAAGTGGCAACATTGTAACTATCGGATGGACGGATTTCCTCGTCAAAGTAAAATCTTTGTACCGCATCCACTTAATTTTTTTAGGGAAATAAAGCCATTGAGAAATATATTTATAACGGTCAAAAATATAATAGTTTATTTATAAAGAAGGTTAATTCATATATACATTATATATGTTCGACTTCTTTTTTGCTTTTTGCTGAAAGGTTTTTTTCCCTCGCGGAAAGCGCGTACTCTTGGCCGAAAGTTATTCACCTATCAATGTAAAGCCGGCGGGGGGGAGGCAGGGCATGGGGTGGGGATCTGACATTTTTCAAAAATTTGCCGTCAAATTCCCTGCCTACGGGCAAATCATTCCAGTCAAATACAACCAAATTTCCCCACCCCGGGCTGCACATTTCTTTCAAATATCCCAAGGCAGAACCCAAGAAAGACACAATGAAACTATCTCCAAATAAAACTCTGCAATCTTTATTTATAAACGTTGCTGCATCACCAAAGATACATGTTCCTGTTACAGCTGCATGCAGTTATGCTGCAATTATACGTTTTAACCATAATCCGTGTTACACTGCTTAGAATACAGAAACCTTTCAGGTGAAAATCCCCATTTTGTAAGTTTAAATATACCATTCTTAGTAAATTAAGGGTTCAAAGAAAGTCAGCTGTACAAGTTTTTTACAGTGATTGTAGCGAATGAGCCATACACTGGTCAATTGTAGTTGCAAGAATCGACTTTGTTTCTCTTTACTTCCGTTTACTTTGATACCACAAAGGTTCGATTGATCAAAAACACGCTAAAACAAACGAAATTTGAAGACAAAACAGTGAAATCCACTCAGCTTTCGCTTGTTCCCGTTGGCCTCTATGATTTCCAGATCTTTCCAGACCACATGCGTGAAGCGTGGAAGCGGGAAACATATGTTCGGTCTCAGTCTTCTTCGTCCGAGTCGGCAGTCAAATATCTCCTTTCGGGCGAACAAAGATTCAAATATCCCCTCCCCTGGGAGAACAAGGTCAGTCAAATGTCAACCCCCCCCCCCGCCCCGTCCCCCCCCCCCCCCCCCCGCCGGCATGACATTGATAAGTGCATTAAGAGGAGCTGTTAACCAAAATTTTGTTATTTAATCTACTAAAGACGTCTTAGTTCTAACTCTAAATTTTCTTAGAGTAGTAAATACAGTTTCATTTTTTCGTAAAGGCTGGTTAAAAGTCAGTGAATTTCGAAAGGCCTTTTCAAAAATACCCTAATACTCTTTGTTGACTCCTGCCAACAATTTGCGTAAGTATTGTAGAAGTAGAATTTGCAATTTTGAGAATTTTAATTTTTAAAATAAATTTGACATCCACATTTCAAACTGTCAATTTTTAATTACTAGCTGACTTTGCTGTAAAAAAAAGCTCAAGTCCCGACTTGACTTCCCGACACACGAATGTGAACAGTGACTGGTACTAATCGAGTTTGCAAATTTTTACCTAATCTGACCCCCTTCTCATACCTTTTTTCCAATTTAGTACAACAGAAAAAAAGGATACAGCGGAAAAAGAACGGAAAACAATTTTTAATATTATTTTAGCTTCATATCAGGACTTCCATAATTTACCTTCAGCGGTTCCTTCAACGTGTCCGGATCCTGCTCCGTCTGCTTCATTGGACTCGGTAACTGCAAAGACACCATTGAAATTGTATATTAAGAGTTTGTCGTAATATAAAGAACTCATGTCTAACTCCCCGGGTCTAACCCATGCCACAAACCTTTCTTTTTTGTCGCCGCAGCACAGCACAGCTAATTTTAAAGAAGATCCTCAACTAAAATAACATTGATATTTCTTAGCCTGGCTCTAACTCTGAATTAAAATTTTTATTTAAACTGATGAACGGGTTTCGTAGTTCATTGTAGTTAGGTTGCAAAACACTTAAAAACTCTTTCCTTGAACTCGAGCTCTAAGGTTACATGATGACACCAAATTATTTCAGGAGTCACTTAATTTCTATACTCTGCAAAGCAAATAATTCATGAGCAGATATATGGACATAACTAAAGAGCTATTAATCCCTTTCACCCGACTTTCTACGACAAAACACTCAGGGGCGTAGCCAGGATTTTTCAAAGGAGTGGGGGGGGGGGGGGGGCCCCACCCGGGTTTTCCCGCCTTTATTGGGTTTATCCCCCTCCCCTCTGTCGTGTATGGGGGGGCTCGGGCGTTTTTTCGGGGCATGAGGGCCCATAATAAAAAAAAAAAAGAACCGGAGAGAAAAATATTTTACAGAAAAAAAAAAATTAAAAAGGTGGGTTTTTAACAATGGGTTTTAAGGGCCAAGAATTTTTCATCCCGTTTTCCCCCCTGTAAAATTTTGGGTTTTTGCTCCAAAAAAGGCCCCCCAAAGGGGGGGCCCCCGGCCCCCCGGCCCCCCCCCCCCCCTAGCTACGCCCCTGACACTTGACCGCATAAAAGCATCAAAAGACAGAAAAGGACTAACAAAGAAATAAGAAAAAGAATATGAGTAATGAGCCAAAAAATTAGAACCAAACAAAACAAAACAAAAAAAACCAAAACAAAACTAGAAAGGAGATAAAAGGACTAGTGAGGACAGAAAAGGACTGGTTACAACCGAAAAGGACTAATAAGGACAGAAAAGGAAAAGTTAGGACAGAAACAGACTAGTAAGAAAAGTGAAGGACTAGTAAGGACGAAAAAGGACCAATAAGGATGGAAAAGGACAGAAAAGGACTAATAAGGACATAAAGGGACTAATAAGGACTTAAAAGGACTATTAAGGACAGAAAAGAACTAGTTAGGACGGAAAAGGACGAATAAGTACATAAAAGTACATAAAAAGACAGGAGGACAAACAAGGACTAGAAAGTGCAGAAAAGAGGTTTTGTCGATCGATTAACAAATTCGTAGACTTGAAAAAATCGGAAAAAGTTATATTTCGCTTTAACAATATTGATCCACGTGTTTGTAAAAAAGTCTTGGCCAGTATGTCTATGAAGCAGTTCAACTTAGAGAATATTCTTCAATAAAACAAAAGCATGGGAAATGGAGATTTCTAATTATAACTTTTAATTAATGCTATCTGTTTATTGATTATATTAAATATTATTAAAACTATAATTGTAATAGTTTAAAAGCAATACCGTTTCTGTAAATGGGAATGATGCGCACCAGGGGAAAACCGGTATTACCGGTTGAAACTTCTAGGTCTGCTAAAAACATCATGTCCCTTATTAACTAAAGTGTCAGTAAGAAGGTCCTTGTATCTAGCAATTGCGAAGCCCCACCTTTGTTAGGCTACTGAAGTCTGGTCTCCCCCAAGAAGACACTAAAAGTTAAGGTTGAGTAAGTTCAGAGACGTGGCATTAGATGGATTCAGTAAGTTCGAAGCCAGGCCTGATGTCATGTGGGGAGAGACTGGTCGACTTGGATATGCTTCCTCTTGCTTACGATCGAAAAATCAAGGATCTCGTTTTCTTTTACAAAGCTGCCAACGGCTTCATTTTGATATAGATGTCTCTAACTATGTAACTTTTAACAATCATCCACGTACATACGCACCGTGGCCAGTCTGCCGGCTGTTATCTTACTGTTCCGGCCTGTAAGACCCGCACTTTGCAAGCTTCATATTTTGTCCGTACGGGGGGACAACTTATGCAACGAAGCTCTCCCTAGTGGTGTTACCTCTCTTAGCTGTTTACAATTATTTTTGACGAATTTACATAATTCTCTTTTAATGAATGTCTTTGATGTGGACATGGTCTGTTAATGGTCAATCTCTTGCGAACGTCAATGACACTCGCTGAATTTATACACATGCATATATTTTATTTTTCATTTTGAATATTAGATTTCTTTACTTACTAATCTTACAATTAGATTTTTCTCTTACTACAACTGGATTTTATTTTTTGTATATATAGTTTAAAACTCTTATATTTCCATAGGGTTGGCAACCTGCATGGGTCTAAGTGTTCCGTTCGTACCCTGCCCGTTTGGTCTTTAATTCTTTCCTGTCTTTCATGTTTGTATATTTCGTCCTGTTTTTGATCCTGCCCAATAAAGCTTGAAATAATAGGCCAGTCACAGTCACAGTACAACAAATGCTAAGGAATTCGAACATGAATAGTCCAGTTTCGAGTTCGCTATGACTGCTGAATTAAAGAACTGAAGACGCATTTTTTACAGCCTTAGCCTCCATCTAAAGTAATATATTCACAAATTCCAACGAAAAAAAGACCGTTTATTACTTTGTCTATTGTGTATATTCAAATTTCAAGCACTTACTTGCCGGGAATTTCTGAATATTTTACTTCACGTCGAGGCTAACCCTGTATGAATGTATCGTTAATGCCTGTATTCAGCGGTAATTTTTAATTCGAAACTAGACTATTAACTGTTTACCATTGGACAAGTTTTGGGTGTATCAGAAATTATATAAACAAACAAGTATAAGCACACATGATGTGAGTTACGTTTTGCTTGAAAATTAAAAAAAAAAACCTTTTCTGGACCCAAAGTAACATTACTTTACGAATCGGGCATAATTTGAGCATTTTATTTTGGGGGTGGGGGGGGGGGGTGGGGGGGAGGGGGCGTAAAAAGAGAATTGCTAGGAGCATTAAATGCCAGTTTTACTAGCATAATCGGGAAAGGCCTAAAACTCCGCTTCAAATACGGCTAAATATTTCGGTAAATAGGCCACTATTTGCGGCCCGCACAGGCAGCTACCTATTTTTGTCTTGAAAGCGTCTGAGAACTCGATTTGTCGGGTAGTTTGTTTAGTAATTTGTTTGATAGTTTTGAAGTTTGTTTCGCCGTTTTACCAGTTCCCAGTCCCCTCTGCGTAGCATACAAGCAAAGTACAATGGCGGCCAAAATTTTTTATCCGATAATTTTGTGAGCGCTAGAAAGTGAAAATCTATGATTCTTTCTGGACACGCCTTAAAAGGAAATGGCGAAAAAATTATTAAAGCGTGTCTTAGTACACTTGAATCTGCGACCTCTTGGTTAGACATTCGTATGAGGTTGGCAGTCGAGAGTCGGACGCGAGTGCGAGGAACAGTTTAACATTATCTTGGGATTTCTTGTAACCCTGCCGGTAAGTTACTCATTTGCTTGTCATGTCAGTTGAAAAGTTGTTTTTTGGGAAGGTAGCGAACGTTTAAGTGAAGATTCGAGGGGGAGACAAAGTTCTTTCTTTTTCGCAGCACTGTCGTTCCATGAGCCCAACCAGTTATCAGCTGTAGATCATTGTGGATCACGAACATAATCCATGAAATCTTGTTGCGAGGAGAAAATTAGTTTCAAAGCGCCCTAAACAATCAACTCAGCAGAATCGGTTTTAGCAGATAACCTTCCTGTTGTAGTTTACTACTTTTTCTAAGGAGGTAAATGGACGAGACGAACAAACAGAATTACATATGAGGTCATAATTTGCCCTGGCAAAGAGGCGAATCAGAATGAAACAAGCGATTTGCTTACCGAGGTGGGCAAACTGAATTAAGGTTTTCCTGTTCATTTAAAATACTTATTTGTATTGATCTCATGAAATAAAAAAATGAATACGACAGAAACGAATATGTTTAATTCAGTTACAATTCACTAAGTCGAAGATACATTCTGAGACCTTTCTTTTAAATATGTCTTCATTGTGTATTGTCAGTAACAATCCACACCGATTTTGGAGTATGCATTTTACAAACAACATTTCCATGATTGTACAGCGTTTATTTGAAAAACATACCGATAATATATTTAATAGTGAGATATACAAATGCTTGTTGTTATTGATTAAAATCTTTGGGAATTCATTGCTGGCATTCTGCTCTATGTTTGTTTTTATTTGAAACTAATTCTAAGAATAAGCAGGTTCCGAATTAAAGTCACACATAAGGATAAACCTGAAGAAAAAAACAAGCTTTTAAAATTGTTTTTCTAGTTGCATAATTTTAAGGCCTTTAGGTCAGTATATCATTTCTGTGCTTGGCAATGTTAAGATTTTGTAAAGGAAAGGTCTGATTAAAGGAATAACTTGTAATGGGGGACTGGATACTACTAAAAAAAACCCTTTTTCTTCAGAACTAGTCACCTATTCAAACTCATCCTCGGAGACCCAGGGGCAGATAGTGGGGGCGAGCAAAAGTCTAAACGGGCGGAAAAATTTGGCACGAAGAAAAGTAAAGAACGGCGAGAAGAGCCCCTGGGGACAATGTCTTACCAGACCAGTTCCAAACGGTCGCCGACGTTCTGGCTTCTGATTGGTGCCAGAAAACGTTAGTGTTTTTCTGTTCAATCAAAAGGCAGAACGGCGGCGACCGTTTGGAACTGGTCTGGTAAGACATTGGCTGTCTTTACACTAGGCTGTTAAGTAAGACTTAAGAGCTGCTAAGTTTTACTTAACCAAAAATTCGTGTGTGAAGGCCTAAGTAAATTCTAAAGTGACTTTACTTTGCATCTCATTAAAGTCGGAAAGTTGAAACGATTCAAGAAAGTTTCAAACGACTTGAAAACCATCCTTAAAACCGACTTAGCTGACGTGCGGTTACTTGCGGTTTCTTGAGGTTTGAGAAAGACGAAACACGTCAATCAATCGTAATTATGTTGCGTGGGAAAATAGCCTTAAGTTAACCTGAAGTAAAAAAGAATCGGTCGTGTGTGAAGCTTTATTTTACTTGAAGTAATTAAAATTTACTTGTCTTGAAATGTTTCTTAGCTTATTT